CTGACACCAGAATCAAAGCTTTCGGCCTTCTGCTTTGGGTCTCTCCGACGCCCTAGTCTGGCCCTTTCGAGTCCATTTCAATGAACATGCGCTTCCACGTTTTCACCTTTGAACATACATCTGGCGGCCTGTGCCTAAAGCTGTGCCAGCTGCTCGGTGCGCAGGTCCTTGCTCCATCCACGGATCCAGGCCTCGTCCAGGAAGACCACCGAGGGTGCTGCCTCCCGGATCACCTCCTCCAAAGCCTTGCCACCCGGCGAGGTTCTACCCATCTGCCGGAATCCGGACTGTATTCAAGGATGGTTCCTTTGCAGGAATCCATTTGGGTATGTCGTTAGGGGACGCCAAACATGGTGTCCTTCTAGTTTCCCTTCGAAAACCAAAAAAGGGGGGATACCCTGATAATAAAAACAAAGTAGGCACCCAAATTTGAGAGATTCCGATTCCAATCTAAACTCGGGATCCATCCGACTGGAAAACTCCGGCCCCAACCCTCGCCTGGATGCGGCGTTGGGACTCCCCGTAGAACTTGGACATGACATCCCCGGGCCGCACTCGGGTCAAAAGACGGCGGGCAATCGCAAGGCAGGCGACTCAGGTGGGCGATCACTTGAAAATATCTCTGCGGGGGGGACTATCACCCTGTTGCACTTTACTGGGAAGCTGTAACACCTCTTTGGGGGGGTCCATGCCCGTGATGTATGTGGTACACGCCATGCGCACCCTGAGCTGCACCTCCAAAAAGGGCAAACTCTTCTGAGCGCAAAACCTTGGACATGTTTGACCCAACGAAACACATCAAACTGCCCATCGGCAGCGAAGCACGTCATTCCGCTGAGCCGAAGGCCATGGAAGAAAGTGGCCTGCCCCTCCAACTCCACCGCTGCCTGGTTAGGAGCTTGGCTCCATTTCTTTTCAACCCAGATCCAACATCTGCAAACAAATGTTCCAAGCAAGTACCCCCAAGTAAGTTCTCTGGTGCGCACACAGAGGTTGGTTTTGGAACTTGAAGATCTCGCCCTGCTCAAAGCTCTTCCCACGCGCAAAGGGACGAAACGGACGAAACTGCCGGCAGCACCGCTCTGGCCAGCATCGTCTTGCCGCAGCCAGGCGGACCTGGCCACTGGCTGCACCATCATGGCAAATGGGATGCGTGAAGTTTCGCGATGCTCAAAACAGCAAGATGTTCAGCTTTGCTGATCAATGCCGCAGCTTTCAGCGATGCGGGCATTACAAGCAAGTATGGCTCTTGTCCACCCACGGCTTAGTCCCGCGATGCAACTGCCCGCGCACCGTACAGCAGTAGGCCCTTGGGCCCGCTGCGCACGCCGGAGAACTCAGTTGCAAAGTTTCAAGCGAAAGTGTCGAAGCCGACCGAGGCGCTCATTTGTCTGAACCAAGGCGGATTTGGCATCCTGCAACCAAACTAGCAGGTCTGCAATGCATCACCAGTCAAGCAATGAAATGGGGATTCAAATAGCTATCCCAGTGCTTCCGGTTACCTCTATAGTTGGTAACCGGCCTGGTTACCAATATAGCAGGTAACCGGAGGACTGGTTCCCGGAACCGGGTTTCAAGGGGGGGCCCTCACATAAATGGATGGTTCTTGAGGCTGTTTGCAGGTTGTGGCTCGGGAACATCATCAAACATCATTTGAGGCGAGAAATCAAAATTATTCTTGATCAGTAGGCATGGACTTTAGATGACTTTAGATCGATTGATGTGGTTTGATCCGTATCCGACATATGTTGATAGTAATTCATCAAAGAACATGATCAATGCACTTCGTGTGACCACAAAACACACCCTTATCCGCGCTTATGCGCCATGCTTCGCGGCAAGCTCGCCAACGGCGAATTGAAGGTGCTCCCCCTTTCAGTGCCTGCATGCTGTCCCGCCAGTGATGGACAATCACGCGTACTTTTTTTTGGATCTAGATCAGAATGCGGATGAACACGGTGTTTCTCCATCACTGGCTGTTCAATGCACATCCGAAATCATTTTCTGCTCTGGCCGCAGTTGCCCACGCGTTGCAGCTGCGAAGCTCGAAAGCCTGTCACGCAATGGCGGAGAACTCTGAGCAAGCCACCATTGAGCAACTTGCTTTTAATGGTGTGATCCGAACAAATGCAAAGTTTGGTGGGAATCCAACTAGGCCCTTGCAGCACTTGAGGTTGGAGTTCGCAAAGATTGCAGTTGACGAGTGGATTCGACAGCTCGGCATTTGCTACGTGCGAAAGAAAGAAGGACATGATCTATTGTCAAACTATGATGCCCACTGCGAAGAGGCTTTGCAGGAAGCCTACCTCCCTTTGAGCATGATCCTAGCGCAGTTTGGGGCGCGACTTCCAAGCGTTAACAAGTTCAGAGCGCTTGATCTGCAATAGCACGCGTGTGATACGAAACTAGAGCATGTTCACATTCGACTGTGCGTTGTGTGAGGCGGCGCTCCTGTGGCTTGAGGAGACACATGCCCTGTTTTTGAACTCGAAAAAGAAAGATGTGCAGGCTGGCTGGGCTTCATTTTAGTCACGCGTGCGCACGCATGTGCTCAACGAGCCTTTCAATGACCGTGTCGCCTAGCAAATAAACGCAGGCATGGGCGGACTTCAACGCTGGCTGCCTTCGCGCTCGGGGTGTTTACGCAATTCGGCTTTGGCGGAAAACCCCAAATAGATCTAAGAGTCTGGGTTGCATTGCTTTTACGAATTTCATTTAGTGATCCCACTTGAGAGTCATGCAAATTGCGTGATTCTGAGGAGCGCGCAAGTGCAAATGCTCAAGGACATTCTGACAGCGCGCTGCGGGAATGATGTGGATGCTGCAGAGGGCGAAGATGCAAATGCGTGCGCGGAGCTATGCGAAGGTGACGCTTTCGCTGGCGAGGGTGCTGATGAGCGTGCTGACGCGCGCAATGATGCTCGCGGGAGCTGCGTGGACCAAGCCACTACGCTGGTCTATGAGGTGCATGCGCCAGAGGAGCGACCAGTGGAACAGTGGCCCCCAAATCCACACATTTCCAGATCATCTTTGAAACGATGGACCACGCCCTGGAATTCAGCTACTGGCAAAGCAAGAAAGGAAAGGACGCATTTGAACATTTGTGAACATGTGTTTTCAACATAGCACCCTCACGTGTTTCTTTGGAGGACGCTGATCTGGCAGCTGGCCAGGACCCTGCCTTGCGTGAGTGCAAAGTGAAGCGCCAGCATTGTCTCCGGTCCTGGGGTGAACAAATCATGGGTCATCAGTCTTGAGTTTTTTGGGAACAGGGTTGCGGCCCTAGAATCAGCAGGCCTACTTCCTAATATGTTCGAAATCTATGGGGGTCACAATTCGTAATCCGCCTAATCCTTGTTCTGGTTGGTAATCTTCTTAGTCGTGCTGCAAATTGTGGGTGGGTCAACACGATATGTTGAAGCTGGGAATCTCATAATCAGCAATCCGCAAACCGCACAATCTGATCCGTAAACCACGTAATCCGCAATCCGCTAATTTGATCGTCGGCTGGAGAGTTCTTTCAACAAACCCTGTTGCACTTACGGGTTCAATGCTCTTTCAAAACCAATCAATGAGAATCTTTCCGCTTGTTTGGTGGCTACCCTGATCAGTATAGCAGTACATCGGCTCTCAAGAATGGTTGCGTTCCGGGGGCAGGGATGTGTAGTCAAGTAACTTCGGGAAACTTGTCTCCGGGCACAAGGGCAAATCTTAATTGCACATGACCTTTCTCTTGAAGCTTGGCACCCCTTTGAATATATCTTCGAAAACCCCATGACGCAAACACCATCAATTGATCATTGACCAGTGGGTGCCAACGAATGTTCATCATGAAGCTTGATCGTTCCGTGCAGGATGAGATCGTGAACAATGAGGGCTCTGCGGCAGAGGCGTGGCAGCCAAGGGTTGGTTGGAAGGTACCAACTGGTTTGGGTCAAAATTAAACCACCAAGGGACCGCAGATTTTAGTCCCTGGGCCATGCTTCCGCTTACCATTGCAAATTTGGCGACCTATGTTCGACCCACTGCCATTTAAATGTTTAGGGTCAAAACGAACTTGTTCCATGGCTAGTCACGCGTGTGATCACTAGTGTACTGCACTGGCTAATTGCGCAGGTTGAAGACCCACTTGCTGTGGCCAGCCAGGAGGACTGCTGGCACATGTGCAACTAGCCACATACGTTTTGTTTATTCAGCCAGCTGTGAAATCGTATGAGGACTGTGATGGAGAGGTTTATTTGGAGCAGGCGCCTACGGTCAATTGCACGAACCCTCATCGTAGTTGCAACATTAGTCCATGAGATCTATCATTTTTCAACTGGCCGTGTGCAGGCTGTGCACGAAACGGAGGAGCTCCCGCCGGCAGAGGCGGCTTCACCCATATCCCTTTAAAACATCTTTGCTGATCGCTCATGGGAATGCCAATTGCCCTTTTGCAGGTACCGGTGGATGGTGATGGACGCAAAGACCCTTGTGATGCGGTGCGCCTTTCTTGAAACAGTGGTTCTACAAAACTAGCCTGTTCAAAATCCGGGGGCCTAATCACAATCCTGCAAATTGGCGGAAAACTCAAACATCCACACAACCCATAATCTGCAATCCTGGATCATGATCAAGCTGCATGATCTTATCCGTAAACCGTATGATCCGCAATAATACATTGGGCCGGGGATTAGGTTTTGAACAAAACAAGCCCTCTTTGCGCAGGTACCTGCGGACCCAGACACGCCCATCGATGACACATGCGTCGAGGAGGCCAGGCGTGTGAGCGCACGGTGCCGACGCCTTGCCGCTTTCCTCCGATCCAGGCAGCAGATCCAGGAGACAGCCAGCAGGGCCTGCACCAGGCGCTTGCTCATTTCACAAGCCCGACACCCTTTTGTTGCCCGATCGGGGTGCCCGGCTTCACAAAGCAAAAGGTGGTCAGTTTCGGGCCGAGCGGGTGTCTGCAATTTTTGTAACTATGGAGTTTTCCTCAAAATCATCGCGCCTTGTCAGGATGATGGCCGAGACCATGGCACGGCGGAACCTGCGCAGGAGATGCAGGAGGCAGTTTTGGGGGGTTTGAGCTGTGATCATCATGAGACGATTATTAATACACACATGACATGTACATATATTGTTTGATGCTGTGATTTCTTTGCCGTATAGGTTTATTTTACTGCACGCCACGTTATTTGCAACTAATGGAATTTTCACGCAGCCGCGTCGCAGGCCTACATTGAGCCGACCGACCACTGCCAGTCTGATCATGAGTTGCTTGCCCAGCAGGCAAGTGCCTGCAATCAGCTTTGCAAGGGTGCGCAATACCACTTTGCAGGCCGCTGAGCCCGCCGACCGCTGCAAGTCTGATCATGAGTTGCTTGCCCAGCAGGCGCTTGCAATCAGCTTTTGCAAGGGTGCCACCGCTACCACTTTGCAGGCCTACGCTGAGCCCGCCGACCACTGCAAGTCTGCCCAGCAGGCGCTTGCAATCAGCTTTTGCAAGGGTGCCACCGCCACCACTTTGCAGGCCTACGATGAGCCGGCCGACAACTGCAAGTCTGCCCAGCAGGCGCTTGCAATCAGAGTTGCAAGGGTGCCACCGCCACCACTTTGCAGGCCTACGATGAGCCGGCCGACAACTGCAAGTCTGATCATGATGCACATCCAGCTTCAGATGCCCAGCAGGCAAGTGCTTGGAGTCCACATACCCCGATTTGTGCATTGCATGTGCAGGCCCACATGGAGCCCAGTGACCACTGCAAGTTTGATGAGTTGCCCGCCCATGGCCAGGCAAGCGTGTGCGTCAGAAGTCGTCGTCCATACGCATTGCTGGTTGCATGGCCGAATAATCACGCGCCAAGACCTAGCGGACTTTCTTGCAATCGGGAATCTTAACACGCTGCCGCGTTGCAGGCCTACAACGAGCCGACCAAGCACTGCGAGTCCGAATTGCTTGGCCAGGCACGCTTTGTGCAGTTGAGGGGCGCTCAACGTTTCGACTTTGCAGGACCTCAATCTGGCGAGTTCGGCTCCGTTCCGGGCGTGCGAGGCTGACACCAGGCTGCACCCGTGTTTGTCATGCGTGCGTGAAACAGGTGTGCGTATAGATGTTGTTTTTCGTTGATCAAGCAAGGATCACGCACCGCTTGTGGATCCGAAGTTCAGACCTCTTTACACATGCATGCTATCGTCCCTGACGATTGCAAACATCGAGCCGGCCAAAAATCAAGACTTGCTGCAAGCTCAAATCCAATCGACCCTTGTGTGCATGGTCAGGTCAGAGTCATGACGCACACATCATGATCTGTTTGACCTGCCTGTACATGTACGTACATGTTCTAATACGCTGTATCCGCTTGCAATCGCTAGGCGAGCAAAGGCAAAAGCGCAACCTGGCCGCGGTCGTGGCGGTGGTCGTGGGAGGCTTGTTGAGCGTAGCTACGTGTTGGGTGTTGTTTTCTGCAAGCAACGGCCGCAGGCCCATGAAGCGTCCAGCAGCTTTCTCAGCCGCCAGTGCCCCTGTTGAAGATGAAGACGCATTGCAATGCGCCTCCAACATCCTTGCAGACTTGCCATCCAAAAAGCCCCGAAGGAGCAAAGCAGACAGCGCGACCCAGCCCCCATCCAAGGGCAAGCAAGCTGAACCGAAGGCCAGCAAGGCAAAAGCCAAATCCAAACCAAAGGCCGCGCCCAAGGCCAAGGCCAGCCAGGAGTTGAACAAAAAAAGGAAAAATGCGGCAAAGGTTGCCTGGACTCGCCCATCAGGCCAAGCATGTATTTAAATAGTCTCGACGCAGGATCAACCATGTATGCGGCGTTGCAGTAAACGCTTTATAAAGTTTCAAGCACTATGATCATGTAGTGCGTATCCTGCACTGCTAGATGAAGACAAGCAAATCATGAAGGACGGCCTTCCAAAGCTCGAGAACTACAAGGCTTTCTTGTTCATAGCAACGCGGAAATGCGATGTGGTTCCCCAAAATGCAGGTTGTACCCTACTGGAGCCGTGGCGATGTCTCCGTGGAAAGGGTCTCCGTGGAAAGGAAGAATCCGAAGGGAGAGGTTACAGACTTACAGGGTTCAACGCTTGATAGTCAAACATGGCCGATTGGTTGATCACAATCAGATCTAGAGTAAATAAATGAATCATGGCCTGATGCTGAGGTTTGCTTCGCCTCTGCGAAGAGTATTCATCGGGTCACGTTGCAGGAGGTGATCAGGGTGTGCACCAAGGTTGTCTGCACCCCAGGTGTTGTGTCTCCATCGAACAAAACATGGCACCATTTTCTGGAAATCAAACACACTGTACTAGCTTGATGCCCAGGCAATTGCGCTGGACAAAGGTGACGACTTGCAGGCTGTTCTGAGGGATTTCTTCCAAGACAGGGTCACCCTGAGGCGGTTGCATGAGGAACGGGAACATAATCCCGAGTTGACCTTTACCGAGCTTAGCGTGCCGGATGTGGACTAGCCATGCGGCTTGATGGGTTTTTCGCAGTTCAGGAATTGGCCAAGGGATCCTGTAAACAATCGAGTGGGTTAAGTCTATCAGCGGTCCACTTCAGAACCACCGCCCTTCCCGCATAGATTCCCGAGAAACTAAAGGAATTCTGGCAATATGCTTTGGTGGGCCATTTCCTGACTCAGCGGTTCTTAGCACATAGGGGTCCAAGGCGGAATCAGGTCAGCCTGTGCCGCGCCTTGATTGGGGGAGCGTGAACGAAGAGGTTCAAATAGACCTGCACGTGCATGGGTGTCCAGGGGTCCTTTCGTTTGATGGCATTGCGGCATTGCGCAAAACTTGAACCGTTGAGATTGTCGCATGTTGGTGGCATTTTCACCTCAAAGCATTTGGGCACAATTTTGGTGGTTGGCCAGCATGGAGTTTCACCTCAAAGCAATTTAGGGAACAGTTTTGTGGCTTCACTTCAAAGCATTTGGGAACAGTTTTGCGGGTTCACCTCAAAGCCTCAAAGCATTTAAAACATGTTTTGTTGTTTCACTTCAAAGCAACTTGGGAACAGTTTTGCGGCTTCACCTCAAAGCTTGGGAACAGTTTCGGCTTTTCACTTCACAACAATTTGGGAACAGTTTAGTGGTTTCACTTCAAAGCAAATTTGGGAACAGTTGTTGGTGAGCAGGGAACGGGTGATAGCACACAGAGTCGTCATGCCGGCCCGCGCCTTGCAGCTGACGCCAGCGCAAGTGGCACTGCTTTTGTGCCTGGGGGCGCCGCCGATTTGGAATCTTGTTTGGTTACATGCAGCCAGGGTGGGGGGAGGCATATATATTAACACCCGGCCCCTTTCAGAACTTGAACTTTCTCATGGTTCTCACTTTTTTTCTAGTGTGATCAAAGTGGATCCACTTTTGGGAACAGAGTGCGTGGCTAACCGTATGCCATGTGGAATCGTGCAGCGCTTGAGTTGCCATAATGCAGCGTGTGGCCATTTACGAATGTGCATTGAGTTGCCCCCGCCCCCTTTTGGCTGGGACGCATCCCAGGATCCATCTCGTGGACTATGTGAGCCAAGCCTCCAACAACAAGTTTCGGAGAGCTTCTCGCCTGGCATGGTGTTGAGTACATGTTTCATGAAGAAGTGCCGTGCCACTTCTTCTAAAGATTGACCACAAGCTGCATTGTTTGCAACTTTGGATTCCGACATTTTGCGGTCTTGCCGGATGGACCTCATACTGAGCGAATTGTTGGTGTCACCAAGGATCTAGATAATCTCGACTTTTTTTGCGGATGGGGAGGCATCTCGCGATCCTTCAGCTTGGGGCTTACTGGAGCACGAAAAGCCATCATCCCCTTTCCCACCAACAATGATGAATGAGGTTCCCGCGGCATGGTGTCTGCCAAATATGATTACGATATTGATCCGACGCAGCATGATCTAAGCACTTTGCCGGGGACCTAGCAAACAAGAAGGGCTTCATAAAAATTGACAACTCATGACGCCCGCCAAGGCTGGGCTTGATGGTGGCCATCCAATACACTCTGAGGTGCAAGGTTGGATCTTTGTTTTGGAGTGGTTTGCCTTGCAGTGCCCATGTGTGGATATCGAGGGGCACAACATGCAAGAGCAAAGTGGACCCTCGAGGGGATGTCACAAAACCCTCAGTGGCCATGGGCAATTTGCTTTGTGCAAGAAACTGCCTTCTTTTGCTGCTTTGCGCACGCCGGCAAGTATGGTGGGCGCTAGAGCAACCAAGCTCTTCGGTGGCCCCTCTTCTGCCTTATCTTCGATGGATACGTCACATCAACCGGTGCATGGATGGGCTAGTGCCAGCCACACTCGTGCGCTTGTGCCACGACTGCATGCAGGTTGAACCACTATGGGGCCGGGTATAAGTGCATGCATATAGATTGTGTGATTAAATCGATACCACCGCGACCGGCACCGCTACTAAGTTGGATGGGGTTATTTGGGAGCACAAGTGTGAAGAGATCCTTGGTGACAGGGAACGCGTGCCTTGACAGCACACGAAACTCACCCTGACATGTTGCAATGAAGAAAACAACTTATGCAAATACTTGGGCCTATGATGATGGTTTCCACTGGTTCCCGTTGATCGCTGCATGAGGCCCTGGGTGCACATGCTGGCAACAGCTTCACACATCACAAAGGCCGACCGTGAGAAGCATCAGTGGTCATCTGCCGGCATTGTGAAGAAAACAATTGAGAAGAACCCCCGCAAGAAGATGTGGGTGTATCTCGGCAAGATCTAGACCTGCTAGCTTGCAGTCATCATGGGTTCCAACACATGTACACATGCGTGTGGGCATGTAAGGAGCGGAGGACCCCGTCTCAAAGGAACACAAAGCTATCCCTCTGCATTTTGCTCCCGCATTGCAAGCTTGCACAAGACCTGGTGCAAGGACCCTGGGTTGCAAAACAATAGCACTACTAGTTTTTGACGGGGTCAATTCATAAAGGGGCTCAGCTAAGGAGCTCAACTACGTGCCTACCTTGCCGGAAGACTTCCAAATGGAGCGTGGGCCGCTGCAACAGGCCACCGGTTTTGTGGTATTATGAGGCTCATCAGGGAAACCAAATAGCTTCATGAGCAGCTTTGAAGGAAATCATTCAATTGCCACATGATGTGCTGAATCTACGCGGTACACAGTACATGTATCCAGAAAGTCTTGCGTTGCGAGAACAGGGTCAAGGGAGAGGGGGCCGGGTTCTTCAGCTTCCCCATGGAAATGTAGTTTCTCCATAAACCGGTTTCTTACTCCCCAAAATGATGGTGTATTGTTACGGGGTTCCAAGCTAGTTTGCGGGTTCCCTGGATCCCAGTTACCAGATCTTGCCCTTTGGGTTTTAGAGGTTGGTTCCCTAGAAACTCACATGGTAATTATTTTGAAATGGCTCCGACTTCAAAGAACACGCTCTTCGCGCAACCAGGCGAGCCCCGACTTTTGGGCCGATGCTGACTTAGTGCCCAGTCTCAAAAGTGGCATTTTGAACCAGTACATGGTACATGGAATCACGCCCTTTAGCTATATACTCATTTGAGGGTGCTCGCATGGATCACCCCAGGTCCTGCCCCAGCTCAGGAGCCGTGCGTGGCCTTCCTGAGATCGCGCAAGGAGTTCAAGCCTCGGAAGGGCGTGCCGATGAGTGCGACACCACTTGGTCCCGATGAGCTCAAGAAGTTTTTGGCCGACCATGTGTACATGCATTTGCAAACATGATCAAAATCGATCAATATCAATCGGGGAGCCTGTTGGATCCAACAGCAGTACACCCCAAACAATTAGTGCGATCACTGGTTGCACGGTGCTCATGCACTCCTGGGGTTTCAAATGGCAGTGCGTCGATGAAAAGAACCAATATTGGCATTGAAGGGTTTCCCGGTTTGTAGTCATGCATCAGCAAGTGGAATCGCACTGCTTGATCTTTGAACAGTTGCTGATTGTTGTGAACGTTCATCGTGCCCTGAAGGCTCATTTGGAGCTACGTGTGAGAGTAGGTTCCGGGGTGTTTCGCAAGCCGCGTCTGGTGACCAGGCCAGGCACAGCACAAACTGAACCGTGAGATAGGGGGTCGGAACCGTGAGATAGGGGGGTGGAACCGTGAGATAGGGGGTCGGAACCGTGAGAAACGTTAAATAGAGTTTCATGCTGTCCGGACTCCAACAATCTGGGGGAGTTCTAGTGCAAAACTGTCAAATTTAATAGCTTTCCAACGTGACCCGCCGTCATGAGTTGTGAACTGGTATTCAATTCCATTGTTACATCGGTCAATCCTTCTGGCCACCCTTTCTAATAATACTTGAGCCCATCCTTGCTCCATCCTGCTGGCCACCCATTCAATTCAATTTGAGCATATCCTCGCACACGGCGAGGCCACATGGGAAAGCGAGCGCAGAAAGCGCCTACGACACCTGTGGTGATGCACACCGCAAAGTCAGACCCCAATGCCGTTCAGGAGATCTTGGCAAAAGCTAAGCTGGCAAGCTTAGCTGCACAGGAGCTTTCTAAGAAGGCATCCACTTGCCAGTGTGCCTAAGAAGACCAGCTCGTCCAGTTTGCCCCCGGCCGGCAGTGATGATGCGCCTCCTAGTGGCACCACAGCGGACAGCAGCCCGCCCAAGGCCACGCCTGTCAGCCCGCCGAAAGCTGCCAGCCCGCCCAAAGCTGCCAGCCCGCCCAAAGCTGCCAGCCCGCCCAAGGTTGCCAGCGCCAGCCCGCCCAAAGCTGCCAGCCCGCCGAAAGCTGCCAGTGCCAGCCCGCCCAAAGCTGCAAGCCCGCCGAAAGCTGCCATCGCCAGCCCGCCGAAAGCTGCCAGCCCGCCCAAGGTTGCCAGCGCCAGCCCGCCGAAAGCTGCCAGCCCGCCCAAGGCTGCCAGCCCGCCCAATGCTGCCACCAGCCCGCCAGTGAAAGCGACTCCGCCCAATGCAGCGGACACCAGTGTGCCCGCGACCTCGCAGCTCAACAAGCAGGAAGGCTCACAGGAGTCCAGCTGCACACACCCACCAACCAGTGTTGCACGGCCACTCAAAACTCGTGCGTGCCCACGAGATCTCACAGAGACAAATCTCAGCCCGGACAAGAAGAAGCCGCGCCCCACGCCGTCGTCAGTCACACCGTCCGATGACGAGTCTGGATCTGCTGCCATGTCCGCACAGTTCGGCAAGCGCACGCTGAGCTTCACCAGTGATGGCAGCTGGGACAATGGCCTTCCACCCAGCAAGATGGGCGGGTACAGCCAACGCTGGTGGTGGGGCCCCGACCACATGTGGTCGGACAGCAGGGATCATGACGGCTGGTGCGACTATGGATATGGATGGGGGCCGCGCTGGTCCAGCAGCTGGGATGAGAACGCTAACTACTACGGGCGTCGCCACTCGCAAAGCTGGTCCTACCAAGGAAGCGACGCAGGAGATCGGCTCACGGACTATGACGGGGACCACGCTGATGAAGTTGCACAGGTTCTGCTGGAGCGCATGCCCACGAACGTGGGGCCCGGGGATGATGGCCACCTGGCCACGGAGCAAGGACACGT